GAAGCTGGAACAAGGCCTGGCTGTGTCTGGGCAGGTGGTACAGACTGCAGAGATTCCTGCCCTTGTGTGACTGAGGGGTAATTTGGAGAGAAGGAATCTCCTGGGAGGAAGGCATGTGGGTGGGGCCTCTCTGTCCCAGGTCACTGAGGGACAGTTTCTGCCACCAGGGCCTAAGCTCTGGGATCCTGAAGGCCTGCCCTGGTGTAGGGTACCTGTTGCTGGAAGCTGTGTGGGGAGCCTTTGGGCCTCCAGCCTATTGTAAGTCTTAGGGTTAGGTCGGTCTCCCCCTGGGGCTGCTGGATTCACCTGTCATTACGCTCACTGCCCAGGGACCCTGACAAAGCTCTACAATGTTGGGTCTGAGCAAGGGCGCTTAAGGTTCACTAATCTGTGTGTAGAACTTTGCAAAACTGCAAATAAGCGAGAAAATTTGTCTATTCTTGTGGAGGGAGATACAAGTTTGCACTTAACATGGAAGCATGAGAAGGGGGGGGTACTCTTTTGGCCAAAAGCCTCACTGTAATCTCCAGAACAATTTCATTTCCTCTGCGGCACCCTGGCTACCCTAGCCCAGGCCTCAGAAAGGTCAGGGAGGAGGAGATGGAGCTTAAAAGCTGGGGGGAGTGGAAGCAGAGGGATGGCTAGGCCCTTGGCCAGGTCGCAGGTAAGGGCCGTGCTGGGTGATGCGGAGGCGACAGGAGGAAGGCCACAGACGGGGGAGGGGCAGAGCCACCTCCTTTGGAAGGGTTTGGCGTTCTCCAGAGGGGTTTTTCTCAGGAATTTGCAGGGTCCGCCTCCGGGGCAGCTTACTGGGGCTCTCCTCCGCCCCTGCTTGCAGAACAGGTCGCAGGGAGCTCGGATTTCCGCCGAGGCCCCGCGCCGCCAGCCGGGCTGCCAGGCCTTTCCCGCTTGCTGAGAAAGGGAAAAGCGCGCGCCCTGGGCGGTGCGGGCTGGGAGCACGTTTGCGCCAAGGGAGTCCGGTTCTCCCCGGGAAGCCAAACTGCCCCCTGGAAGCTGCGTAAACCTCACCGGGCCGCGCGGGCCGGAGAGCGTGTTCCCAGGAAGCGGCTTCTGCCATCGGCAGCCGAGATCCCGGTGGTGGCGCGGCTGCTGGGAACCCCGCGGGTCGCAGAGAGAAGCAGGCCGCGGGAAGCTTTGCTTCTCCCCTCCAAAGGGGAACCTGGGACTTTTGGACCCTTTACTTTAAAATGATTGATCATGCCCCACCAGAGAGCGGCTCCACCCCCTGTCCCCACCTCCGCCGCCTTCCCTCGTCACTTCGGCTCCAAGCGTGCGCCGAGGCGCGCGGGGTCGTGCGTTTGGAGCTGTGAGCCGCAAACCGGAGCATCCGGAGCCTGAGCGGCTGTCGCGATTTTGGAAGCATCCCGATGGGAGAACCCAGAACCGAGGGTTGGGTCGTGCCTCCTTGCCCACAGCCCTCTAGGTGAAAGACGCCAGCAACGTATTTCCCCATGAAATCCGTCCCTGCGCGCCCGCCTCCCTCCAAGGAAGTCCTCGCAGGAGCCGGGCTCCGCACTGGGAGGCTACAGGGGACGGAGGATGAAGGCTCAAAGCCTCCATGAGTGAAGTTGATTATTAATTTGGGCTGTTCGGAGCGAGTAACACGCTTGACGCCTTCGGCTTTGGGAATTGTCTGGGAGCTGGGACCGAGGCAAGGCTGACCCAGGGTCGTGACTGGGAAACTCGAGTTGCAGAGGCTCCCGGACGCATCTGAGCCGGCTGGGTAGAGCTCCCGGGGCAAAGGTTGGCTCTTCCTAGCTCCCAAATAAATTCTTAGTTAACTAGTGTAGACTAAACACATCAGTATTATTAAATGGTTAAAATAGATGGGGTTCAAAGTGGGGGCATGTCAACTGGACCCAGACCCGGTCATACTTCTCCGGTGACAATCAGGTTGCTTCCAAGACGAAAATAGAAATGTAACATTCAAGTGGACGAATTAATTTTTGACGGATTTACGGTATGATTTTCTTTCAAGCGGTATTCATTGGTTCTTTCGGTCCATAGTGCGGTCCAAAGACAGAAATATAAACAAGCACTTTCTTGCTTTGCGGAAACCCCTGAACAGTATCTCCCAAAGAAAGATCAAGACACTTTGTGAATTTTCCCCAGATAATGCCTCATATTCCGAATGACTGATCAGAGAACTCTGGTATTGTTAAATAAAATGAGAGGAAGGCGAGTGACGTGGGAGTCGAACAATGGCATTTCTGAATCAGTTTGCTTGATTGACATTTGGGAGCTTCATGACCCCAGGGAATAGGACTCATTACGGTGAATACACCAAAACATCAACCAAGATTAGAACTCTAGATCCTGTTTTAATCCCATTTCAGTCTAAATTATAGTGGGAAAATATAAAATCCAAGAGGAGAGAATTACTCCATTATATATTGACCTAAAGTTTTAATTGTACTAAGGGGGAAATAAAAGTGGAAAGCCAATATACTTTTCAACACTTTAGCAATAGCACTGACAAGTAAAATGCATGGGTTTGGTAGGGTAAGTGCTAAGAATATTTGTGTGGTATAAAACATTTCATACTGATTTGGGGAGACACCTTACTGGAGAAATAAGTAGGGAGCTTTTTTTTTTTTTATTTGTATGTATGAGGGAAATATCATAACCCCCCTCCACTGGTTAAAAAGTGAGGATCCCTTTGATGCCAAAAAATAATTCATGCTAAGAAATAATCAGATACCTTAAAGCTAGCGTCTCAATTTTCATTAGTATTTGGAAGACTTCCCTATTACTTGGGAGGGGAATTTGCTTTTTAATGTCAAAAGTTGTGTTAGCATGTAAATTTAACCCAGGAAATTGTGAGAGCTGATCTTCAATTCATGTTGGAAACAGGGAATGTGTTTGAGCAAAGTCTATTTTTAACAACAGAAAAGTGTGAGATAAAGTGGGGCTGTTGGGTTGGGAATATGATCTATGGCAACTTCACTACACACAAATTTTTGATTCTTCAGTGGAACTCATCTTCAAATTTTAGACACTTGAAAAACTGGGAGTCCTAAGTATTATATATTAAACGGAACCAATAGATCACAGACAAAGGTGTGGTAAAAGATAGTATAGTTATAGTTATATTCTCATATTTTTAGTAGGCAAATTACACCAAAGGAAATGTAACAGGAAGATGTGGAAATACAGCAAATGTTACAAATAATGGAAAAGAAAGTTGCTGCACAATATAGCTTCCCAATCTTACATTTTGAGGGGTAGATTTTAATGAGAAGCCTCTGTGTTGCATGGAGAACTTGGAGTCATAAGAATTATTTATGCAGGAAGAAGGAACAAAAATTAATTATTAGGAGCTCAGTAATCACCAAATAAACTCTGAGCTTTGAGGTTAAAAATAGACGACTATCTTCATGTTCAATTACACAGTATCAATTACTAATACAACTGATGTTTCAGTGTCTCAGCGCGACCAGATACCATCTTCTATGGAGATATCTTGGTATTAATTAATGACTGCTTTATTCTAATTATTCACAAGGAAAAATAGGGGCCGTGTCACATTAAAATTAAGATTATCTTAGTTTATCTGGGCTCTTAAACAAAGATCATTCAAAGTAATTATATTTTGAATTAACAGAGCTAGGCAATTTATCTCGTTATTTTTTGTTCAAAGACAGGAAAATAAAGATCAGAAATAAGCAAAGTTTCATTTTGAAGATGGTGAGAACCAAACAAACATGTCTTGACTTTTGCAATATTTCCCTTGCTAAAGGGGGAATGAGGGAACTGTAAAAGACGTGACTTTGCAAAGTCAAGTCCTTTTTAAAAGACTCGGATCGAAATTCTTGCTATGCAACAAGGATTCAAGTTTGATTAATTTTCTGCAAGCGACGTGACAGCGGTGTTTTAAAAGATTAATTAAAATTGAAGTGATACGGAGCAGGAATTCAACCTGCAGAGGCGTCCCTGGCGCCTTGGGGGGCTTTGCAAGCGAGTCCCAAGCCCGAACTAGGGCTTTCCCGAGCCTGGGACGCAACTCCGGTCTCCTGGAGAGGAACGCGGAATTTGGCAGGGCGCCCGCCCGGCCGCCTGGCATCCCGAGCTGGCCGCCAGCTCTCGGGGGTGGGGACGGGGTGTGTCCTGGGGAACCCGCTGCCGGGAGAACTGCTAGCGTAGCTCTCGCCGAGCCAGTGAGGACCAGGGTCACGCCAAGAGGCCGCAGGGGGCTCCCGCCAGCCTGGAGCTGACAGTCCCCGGCCGCGTCCGCTTCTCCCGGGGGGGTGGGGGAGGCGCCTGCTTTGTGACTGGGCTCGTGTGGAGCCCCCTCCACGACGCAAGCTTGCAGGGGTGCGGGGTGTGTGGGGGGCACTCTGCGGGGGCGCGTCCACAGAGCTGAGGACGCGGAGGGCTCGGCCGGGGGACCAGAGCTTGGACCTGCGTGGCGACCTCCAGCTCCGGACTCCGGGCGGCCCTTCGCGGTGCCACCGCCTGGGCCACGTCTCCCATCTCCCTGCTCAGTTTCCCGCTCCGGTTTCCCCCCTCCCCCCGCATCTTCGTCCCCTCGCTTCACTCCGCGACGCCTTCACCCGAGTAAGAAATTAAGCTGAACACCATTGTAACTGTACTCAAGAAGACACAATCGCGGGAGCCATCGGGGTCACGCGCGGCAGAGAGGCGACGCGGGTGGCGCCGCAGAGGGTACGGTGGGGGAAGAAGGGGGTGTTCGTTTGCAATTAGCCTCCCTAGGGCGCGAACTCCGGTGCCCTCTTCTCTCCAACTGGAGGTCTCGGGTCCCGACGGCGAGAGGCCGCGCCTCGCCCCGCTGGCCGGGCCGTGCGCCCGAGGGCCCCGGGGGACGCGGGCCCAGAGGCCTCCCCGCTGGGGCGGCCCTTAGCGACTCGCGGCGGCGCCGGGAAAGCCCTTCCTCTGCAGCCGGTCCCAGGGGTCCGGGTCTGAAAGGGTCCCTGGGGCTACTCCGTGCTGGGAAGGCGACGCGGCTTCTCCTCCCGCTCATGCCTGCCTCTCCCGCCCTCTTCCCGGAGGCCTCGGAGATGGCCGAGAAGAGGAAGGAGGCGGCGTGCAGACTGTGCGGCTCGGGAGCCGGAGCCCGGGAGACCGACTGAGAAAGGAAGCTCGAGGACGCTGCGGAGGGGCCGTGGGGCGAGGGGACGCCGTGGGGAGGGCCGGGTGGGGGCGAGACGAGAGTTCCTTCCCCTCCGAGTGGCGCGGGGGACCTCTTTCCCGGGGAACCCCCACCCAGTAGCTCCCAACCTCGAGAACAAAGGGTCTGGGAAGCACGGCCGGGGTCGGGGAGCGGACGTGGAGGGAGGCAGGAAGGCAGGCGGTGGGGGTAGGGAGGGCGCCTCCCCACATTTCCTCTCGCGGCCGAGTGATGGAAAGCTCCCTCCAGCGAACGCCTCACTGAGGCCGCTTCCAAATCCGGGAGGGCTCGGGTTCCTTACCTAACGGCTGCACTCCGCTCCCTTCCTCCCCCAGCGTCCCCACCCCCTCCGGGGACCCAGCCCGGGGAGCTGGAAGGCCCGCGGCGCGCGGCGGCGCGGGCGGAACCGCGGGGCAGCAGCGCCCCCTGCAGGTGCCGGGCGCCTCCGCAGACCCGACTCTTAAGGTGGAACCCGCCGGGTCCCCCAACCCGCGCGCGGCCCGCGGTTTCCCTGCGGAGTCCGGGTCCGCGGCCCGCAGCCCTCGCTCCACCCGCTGCGAGTCTCCCTCCCGAAGCGGCCCCGCTGCCCCGAGCGGCCGGAGTCCGCTGATCCCTGCGGCTATTTCCTGGATCCCTCGGCCCCACTACCTGCAGGACGTCGTCCGCGGACGCCCCGCTAGCGACTTCGACAGTCGAGACTGATAATTCCCTGCGGGTATAAGACGATGCGTAAGTCCCGCATCCGGGCGGAAAGACCAGACGGCGTTTCTTTAACCCTACAACTTTTATTTTGGTTTATAAAACCCAGAAGGCCAGCAGGCAAGGGTTGCTGAGGGTTGATAGTCCTTTCATGTGTCTTTTCGCATCCAAGGAACGGCTCGCGATGAGACTGGCGGGCCCGGGAGTCTCACTCAGCGCTCACGCCCCGCAAAGCCGCGGGCAGATGCGGCGCTGAAGGCCGGGGAGGGGCGGACCCGCAGGGGGACCTCGCAGCGCGCACCTCGGGCGCCCGGGCTTCAAGCCACTCTCGCCCGGATGCTTTGTTTATTTAGTGAAAAAACAGGAACATGGAGAAGATCCAAGAGCAGTTTTTATTTTCTTTCTAACATTTTTCTTAAGTAAATGGTGTGTGCATGTGAAGGCACTGTCTCTTGGAACTAAGTGTCCTCAGCGAACTCCAGCTTCATGGGGAAAACCTGCGATCACTGAGCAGGAAACGGACAAGCCAGCTCAGGCTCCGGTGCCATCCGCAGTAAACCCCCTTCCTTTGCTCCTTTCTTCTCCGCGTCCAGGAGAGCGGGGACCCCGGGCTGCCCCAGAGCTCCCGCACACGCAGGACCCAGGGGCGCGGGCGCGGGGAAGGCAGGCGCGCTGCGGGCCGGGGCGGGGCGCGCGGTTTCCCGGCACCGTGGGAACCTCCATCCCCCCGGGCGCGCGACCTTGGCTCCACCCTGCCAGGCCCGGGCTGAGTGGTCCACGGGGTGGGCCCCGCCCCGGGGAACCCGAGTCCGCCGATCCGGCCGCAGCGAGGGAAGCTCGCTTGGGCAGGTGCCTCGGGGTCGTACCCGCCCCAGGGGTTGCAAACCGCAAGCGAAAGTCGAGAGGGGCAGGAGCTTTTCCACTAATCCGTTTTACACTGTGAAAACCGCAGGCCTGTCGCCTAGGCGGCCACTTTTAAATTGGCAAGCAAACAGACGAAAAACCAAAACAAACGCGCGAGCTGACTTTCTTTCCCTAGGTTCCTCCTTCTCGATGAAAAGCCCGCTTTCTGGTGCAAGGAGAAACCAATCCGCGCTCACGACTGCTCACTGGGGAGGGAGGGGGCTTCTGGGGCGCGCAGGAGGCGCCGCGAAACCCGGGGCAGCAGGGGCAGCCTGGACGGTGCCCTTCTCATCACGCTCTTGCCCCGGTTTCTCCGTGCGTCGCTCTGCACTGGCGTCCCGCCTCTCCACGGGTCACGCCGAGGCCGTGTGCGCCGTGCAAGCCCCTTCCCAATCTTTCTCGCTCGGGCTGAAGGGCGGGTGTGGGCGCTTGGGTGTTGGGGCGCGCCGAGTTGTTGACAGAGCCAGGTTCTCCCAGAACACGGGGCGGGAAGGTTAAGAGTTGGGTCGCTAGTTTGGGAGGTCGAGGGACTTCCAGGCCGACCGGAAGAACCACTTGCAGATGCATTGCTAAGCTCACAGTTTTCCCCAGGGAAAAGCAGAACTTGCAGGCCAACTCCCAACTTAACCGCGCGTCCTGCTAGGGGTGCTCAGGCCCTTGGGGGAACCGGAGAGAAGTGGGGGCGGGGAACGCTCGAGTCAGGTGGGCTGAGTACCGGGATAGTGGGTGTCTCCTTCCTGTGGTGATATATTAAGGCTCTTAAGTGTAAAATCATTTTTAGTCAAATTTGTGGCCTTGGAGGTAGAAGGGAGGAAGGCAGGCAAAAGAAAGAAGGGGAAAAACATTTATTTCAAAAAGAAAACCTAGAAAACAATTGGGTGATCAAACTGTGCAGAGGAAAGGAGGGAAAGAAAGATGGAAAAGGCTTTTCTTCTTTGTTCGTTGAAAGCCCGAGCACTTTCTTTCAAAATCAAAACGTAGAGAGGCAGTCAGTCTTAGAGTGTGTTTATGCAATTGAGAGAGTCTGCTAATTTCTCACGTCTAAAGCATTTGCTGGGTTGAGCAGAGTTTTTAGGTTCTTTCTCACCCAGCCCCTGTTTGAAGCTCAACTCATTTTGATTTAAAGAGATTTGAGATATAAATTTCACAAGAGAACATGTGTGTATACATCTGGACGTGTATATGCCCATGCAACAGGGTTTGTATTCTCTCTGGTCTATTTCTAAGACAAGAGAGTCTACAGTAAATTACACATGATGACTAATTTTTTTCTAGTACTGTCACCAGAGAGAAGAGACTTGAGTTCTCTCTGTCCACTTCTCAATAATAAATCTCCTAAGACAGATAACTTTCTTTGTGCGGTCGTGCCCCAGCACCTCTTCTGTCTGAGTTTCTTTCCTTCCCACGTGTGACCACACACAGCATAAACATCACGCACGGATTTTTTTCGTAATCAGCCTATAATGCATGATCTGTAAATCTAGGCCCATGTTTTAGGTTTTCGTTGAAGTTGGGAACACTGTTGAGGATCTACTTTTGTTCTTCACTGTCTGTTGCACTTTATCAAGGATCTTCGATAGACCAATAAAATGATCATCTTTGCTCTGAATTTACTTCTTTGTGATTAAATGGAAAATAATGTTAATGAACTATGTAAACAGTATTTTTTAAATATAAAAACTTCAACAAAATAATGAAAAATGAGCCACTGTTGTTCCAAATGTTCGGGATGGTGGCTTCCCCCTTGCAATCATATTTTGGCAAAACTATTTCACATTAATTGAAAAATGATGAAACAGTGCAAACACTCCACAGAGAGAGGCTTATTCACTTAGCTGTACTACCGACAACTTAAACTATCTGGTTCAAATTACTTAAGTAATGCCTGCTGAAGGAGGAGTTGGAAAATTAGGAGCTGTGGAATTATTTGTGTGTTTTTGACCTTTTCATGAAGCTTTACTTAAATCTGATTTTTTTTGAGAAAAGCGAAAACTAAAACAATACAAGAACCGCTTAAACGGTCTTATAAAATAATGTGTGATTGCTATAAAAAATGTATTCCCCAAAGATATTTTAGTGAAACTAGGTGAATACAAATACAACTATTAAGTTTTTCTTTCCAGTAATTTTTCTCTCTCAAATGTAAGACATCTAGGACTTCCAAACACGCACTCTTATTTGTTCTGATAATAGGAAAACCAATGTTGGTTTTCTAAGAATGTCATCGTTATCAAAGGGCAATGCCAAAATCATTAGATAAGCATCATCTTTCCTAGCACATCACTGTCTACATGAAATTCCATCTTAGAAAATATGTGAGAATATTATATTTGTTTCAGAAGCTTGAAAAATACGATAGAATTTGAAGTATTGAAAATATGATTCCTGGTTGACAATATCCTAGAAGTTGCAGAGGTATCTCTTTTTGAGATGACTTTAATAATGACTGACTTTAATAATGTTCGAAAGCAAGGAAGGATTCCAATAGCAGGCAAGATGTGATGAATGGACACGAGGAACAATGAAGCTATTGACGAAACATGTAACTTTTAGAATTCTATCTAAATTATTATTATTTTTTCCAGTGTAGAGGAGGACAGTCAAGTGCATCAATGTTCATCAGATGCAGGGTAATAAAAATGTGAGTGACAGTTAATGGCCCGTGACTGTAATATGATTGTTAGTGTAGGTGAGTTAATGCACCGAAGCATTTGTTCCTGTTTAAAGAAGGTCAGCGGTCCACAGTTGTGATAGGTGAAGTTTCTAGAAAATTGAGGCCCCGAACAAGAGGGAAACAAGGCTAAAAAAGAGAATAAAGCGAAGTCAGTAATTAAAAAACTTTTGTTTTCTGTTTTAGATTTGACTTTAGCCAATTGTTTATGCTAGTTATTTAGATGAAACAAATAGAATATCATTTAATAAGCAGAGGCACTGATACAATTTCCTCTAAAAGGGTCTGATTCCCGGCATCCGAAGGCAACTGGAATTCAAGTTAGTATTAGAACTTGAATTTGTTCTGCCAGAGTGAAAATTGGTTCCATTAGGCATCAGGCACAGAACTCTTACAGACCTGGCTACAGCTGTAGATATGATACGTCCAACTAGCTGAAATAATAAAGTCTTAAGTAGTGCCGGACGTGCTTTGGAAAACCATCCAGGGGGTTTGAATTTTTTTTTTTTTTTTTTTAATGAAAGTTTCCTAATTTTACAGTTCTCGTAAATCT